CAGTGGGTAGGAACAGGGGTGGCCCTCTAAACTGCAAACACACGTTTGTGGGAGGCCCGCTGTCCATGGGAGAGGGCTCTGGTGGGCTCTGCGGCCATGATGAAATGACTAGTGAGTGCACACAGGTGCTTCCCTCACTTCCCGCCATCTTCCCTGGGGACCGTGTGGTGACATAGCCGCTGGTTTGTCCCCACATGGTCACCTTTTGTTCTTTTGCTCACGCAGAAAATTCCCTTTCCTCGTTGGCCAAAGACACCTTTTCTTCGTCCGGTGCCTGCCTTTCTCCCACTGACAGGCAGACAACAACGGTCTCATTGCACATTTTTCAACTAGAATGAGAGATCGCCAGAGCTGAGCCCGGATGTCCCCTTTCTTTGGTGTGTTTTCTGGGAAGGTTTGAGGCTAGCTTCAGGCCACCAAGATGCTGTGTGAGCCTGGGAAAGTTACTTAACCTCTCTGAGCCTCAGTCTTCTCATCTGTCCAGTGGGACATTGCAGAACCTGGGAGACATTTTGAGACACAGTAAGCCAGCACCAAGCCCGGCGTGTGGCATGTCGGTGTTCGGTGAGTCAGAGGTGTTGTTGTGGTTTTAGCTCATTTATGTAGACTTTAATGAAGTTACCAGTTTGAACTCTTGAGTGTTTTATTCTTTTTTATGCCAGACCTTAATTGTGAAAGGAAATCCACCTGCCTTTATATATGATACCTGTGCTTAGGACCCAGAAAGACTGGGGTGGGGTGGGGAGAGCATGTTGAACTTCTTTGTTAATAGTTATTCACCCTTGTCATTTGTTGGTGACAGCAAGGGAGAGGGCTCTTACATGATTGGAAACCAACAATGGCAGGAACAGAAGAAACCTTTTCAAAGTTGTCGTTTCTATTTTTAATATTTTTGTTGTTTTCGAAGATGAAAAAATAACTAAAATATTAGAATTTGCACTGGACCCTGTAGGTGACAACTCCAAGGTGAGTGTTGGTCTTTCAGAGCTGTGGTAACACCGACTTCATGTTCCTGAAGGTCTCTGCCCTGAGAGAATTCTTGCCTGGGCTTCCGGAGGATCTGAGAACAGCTTTCTGGCTGCCTTTTCAAGCCTGTTAAGAGTGCTCGTAGCCCATCTCTCCTGAGCTTAAATAATTTCCAGTCACTGGTGCTGGAGTTGTTGCCTTCTGCCTCCCATTTAATCTCCGACTCCTATGCCTTGGTCTTCAGGCCCCAGTCCCTTTCCTGGTCTTGTCCCCACTGTGACCTCTTCTCTGTCTGAGTCTGGCCTTTCCTCTCCACACATCCCTGTCCACCGTTCTCAAGCCCTGGTCACACCCACTTCAGAGCCTTTCTCAGTCCATTTCCCTCCTGTCCCTTGAGCCACACAGTGTCATCTTTAGGATCAAGCTAATTGATCAGCTGATTTTGAATATTAGCAAATGACACTTGGTCTATAGTGATTGTTCTCAATTTTGACTGCATAATGTAATCACAAATTTGACTGCACAAAGTAGCTTAAAAAAAAAAAAATCCCAGTGCCTGGCTATCACCCCCAGAGGTTCAGATTTAATTGTTCTGAGCTGTGACCTGGGCATCAGGATTTTTAAAAGCTCTCCCAGGTGCTTCCATATGCAGCCAGGATTGAGAAACCACTGGTTTAAGAATTCATTCATTCCCCAAGCTGAGTGTATTCTAATAATAGCTCTATTTGTTCCCCAAATGACTTGTATACCATAGCATTTTAAATAGTTCATGTGACTATAAAAACATCAAAGTAGCTATTTCCATCTCGTGTTAATTGGGTAGATTTGGGGAAAGGAAATAGTACAGTTCTTTTTTTGAAAATTGAATCCTAGAGTACCCCTGGGCCCACTTGATGGCAGTACCAGCAACTTGCATTTATCATGCTCTCAGCGTGTGCCGGGCACCGTGCTAAAGACTTCCGAAGCTCGGCATATTCATTAGGCCATCTTAATCCTCAACCCTGTGAGTAAGCCTCAGTTTTCCTGTCTCTGATTAATGAGGATCCTGAGGTCCAGAGAGGCTCACCTGTATGCCCAGGGCTGAACAGGAGCCCTTCACTGGATCTTCACTGACCCCTTAGGAAGGAACAACTTACCTCAATAATTTCCCAGAAAATAAGGGTGTCCCTGTGTTAGCTTTGGGGTTGAACTCTCTTTGAATTAGATTGCATTCTTTTGTATATCCAGAGCTTCCGGATATTTGATTTCAGGTTCACTCCCAAGTTGCCTGTATATATATGTATATATATATATATCCAAGATTGGGAGCCCATTTCACAAATTAGTTTTCTTCATGCACTCAGCAGACATTATTTTAGAGAAGCAACTTGTTTCTAGCACCTCACCTTGTAGACCCTACCCCAGTTTTTACCTGGTGTCCCTAATACTTCTCTGAGGTGGTGAATAGGCATTGCTGTCCCCATTTTGCAGAAAGGGGAGCTGGTGTGCCAAGTATTCGTTATCTATTAAATAGTAGTAGTAGCTACCACTAAATGAATACTTCCCATGTGCCAGGCTCTGTGCTAAGCTCTTTACATCCTATGTGATTATCCTCATTTTACAGATAAGGAAACTGAGACCAAAAAAGGTAGAGCTCCTTGCCCAGGGTGGTACAGTTAGTAATCAGGTGCCTTGTTCCTTTGCTGCTTGTTTGTTATTTCAACTTTTTATGAGCAAAATGGCAAGACATAGACTTCATTTTCTCTCCTGTGTTAGCCTGACCAGCCTCTGCTGTCTATGCAGTGGCATCCGGACAACCGTGTCTAGAACAAACCATTGAACCATAAACTGGATTTTCTTTCTGTGTGTTGAATGACCATTTAATATCTATGGTGAAACAAAGAATTTTCTGCCAACCTTGACTATTGCACCGAGGTCAAACAGGCTCTAAATGTTCCTTCTCCAGCCATCCCAGGACGAGGCTGCTTTGGTGTAAACAACCCCTGAAGGTCAGAACCGGCTCGGGGAGCAGTTTCACTCACTCTCCATCCGTCTCTGAGCTCTGCTGTTTTTCAGCTTTGGATTAATGACAAGACCCTTGTTGCTGCTGCCAGGCCACTTCTAAGCACACAGGCCCTAAATGCTAAGGACAAAACCCACCTCCCCCCTTCTTGCTAATTATGAGTATAAACCCCCCCCCCCATTTTCTCCCTCTGCAAGCAAATACAGAGTCGATAGCTTCTGGTTTGTTAGTTATGTGTACCCACATAGTTCTGGAGGGAGAATAAGTCTGTGCACGGGGAGTTTGGCAGCGTGGCGAGTGATGGAGCATCCGGGAGAATGAAGTACCTAGCTGCCTGCGTCAGGGCAGCGGGTCACTAATTGAGTGCAAACCTTTTTTTTTAAAATGTTGTTTATCCCCCTACAGGGCATACAAAACCATTGAGGATGATGACTTGAAGTTTCCCCTTATATATGGAGAAGGCAAGAAGGTAGGCATGTGCACTCCCCCCGGACCGAGAGAAGCAGGCTCTGGCCCCGCACCGCCCTTGGCAGTCTCTGTGCCCCACTCCGCAGCCTGGCATTTTATAGCCCTGACAGCTTAAAAGACTCTCCCCTTCCATCATCCTTCAGGCCTCCTGTCTTGAGGGTCCGAGGAGTGGTGGGGGTTGGGGGAGGGGGAGGTGAGTGGTGAGCACAAGGGACGAAAGTCCATTTTGTGAAAATAACCCTCCATTTCTCCAATCCGTCTGAATAACTTTTTACAGCGTTCAACCGTGACCCCATGCACGTACGTCATCTCCCTGTGTTTCTGACAAGCCACGAGGCAGGCAGGGCCAGCGGTACTAGGTCCTTTTGGCAGACGAGGCCGCTGAGACTCTGAGGCGAAATCGGCTCCTGCAGAGTCACACAGCTGGCCAGGGGTGGTGGGAGATGTGGAGCCACGGCCGTCTCCCGGCTTCTGGAACTCTCACGCTCCACCACGGAAGTTCAGACTCTGCAAGGGTGCTTCTCCGCTTGCCCCAGGCAAGGGGATCCAAAGCTTCACTGTGAGGAAGCTGGAGGATCCCGTGCACCAGAGCCCGGGCCGAGCTAGCAAAGATAGCTCGTCACAAGCTCCCAGAGCCCCAGTCAGAACCACACCCTAAGCAGCAGGCACGCTGTGGAGCACGGGAAGGCTGTTTGTCTGTCTTGGTCTGGGAGCGGAGGCTGGAGGAAGTGGCCATCCTGGACTGGAGAGGGGAAGCTTTGAAACTGTTTACCAGTAAGAACAAACAGCTCTGAGTCATTGCATTCTTCCTCCGAACACGAGTACACTTCAACTCTGGGCTGAGAGCTCCAATTAGAAGTGAAAAATGTGCTCGCATTAAGAAGAATCTTCAACTGAATTTTTTCCAATATTTCATAGTTTTTTGGAGGAAGAAGTGACTCATAATAAAACTGAAGGATGCCTTTATGGACAGAACTTGAGCATGTGTGTGTGTGTGCATGCATGCACCTCTGAACGTACATGTGTGGGAGAGCACACGGGTTTAGGTTTAGGCTCAGTGTAGCAGTGATTTCAGCGGAAGGAGACATTCTGTGGAGGGAATGAAATACAAACATCTGATTCACAGAGGGATCATTTTTCAAACGAACTTGCCCTGTTCATGGAAATGGGCCATCTTCTATCTCACCATCCCTGATTGAGAATCACAACAGGAAGGGACTCTTTTCCTGACAGCGTTGCATGGGCCTGTCAGGATGATGGGTACCGTTAATGCCCATCTCTCAGCCCAATGACCTATGCCTACAGCTGTGGTGCTTTGTGGGGCTGAGATTCTCAGTATTACCCTCCTATACCCAGGGAGTTCCAGGAAGCTCAGAGCCACCTCCTGTTACCTTTGTATCCCATGCACCTGCCCAGCCTGGTACCTGACACACGGCTGGCCTTCAATAAAGACATCAGTATTAAATACACTTTTCAGTTACGTACAGTATACTTTCTCCCATACCAGAGGAAAATGGACTAATGTGTTCTTAGAAGATGATCAGAATAAGATTTAAAGGAGCCAGGGGCTTCCCCAGTTCAGCAGATGTTTATTTCACCGGGACATCATGTTCCTCAAGCATTTCAGTTAATTAGGGCTTGACACTTCTGTGATAGGCGACTGGCAAGTTCTGTCATCGTACCTGATGGCCTATTTAAAAGCCACTGTGGCTCCAGTCTGTTCCAGGCTTGCTCCATTAGTGAAGAAGTGCAAGATCCCTGTCAGGGGATCCATGATTTCTTGCGAAGTCTTTACAACTGCGACACGTCAGTTCTATCTAGATCCTTTGCAGGGGGTTTCTCTTTCCCGTCTGCATACACCTACCCAGAAGTTTCAGAAGACTTTCATAGCCATAACTTCTCATTTTATTCCTGCCAATGCTTTTAAGGATTTGTGTGGGTAACACCTACATACTCTGTAAACAAGTTCAGTAACTAGCAGAAACATCAGATTTCTTTAGACGAAAACGCCCACCTGTGCTTTTCCAGCCAGAGAAGCTGCCATTGCAGTGGGGAGAGCAGAAGGGCCGCAAGGGACTCAGGATTTTCACACTTAGAGTTGAATACTTCTTAGCCAGTAGGGAGTCGGTGCAGCTCCCCAGCAGAGCAGAGAGTTTCTGCAGCCTGCCTGACCAGAGGTCCCCAGGCTTCATATCACATGCCTGCATTTTACCTCCTTTGATTCTTGCCTTTAAAAAAATATGTCATGGTTTCATTTCCACTTTAATGCAAACTGCCCATCTTCTGATCTGAAACCAGCTCCAAAATCCATAGCCTTTTTGGGAAAACAGGATGAAAATGCTGGTAATGTTTTGGACTGTCATGTTTCTTGGCGTTTATAAGTTACCCTCATTACCCAGACAGTAGAGTGAGGACTCAAGCCTGGGTCTTGGCACCATAACCCTACACCGGATATGTTACTGATGATCGAAGTGTTAGGCCATTGGGCTCCATTCTACCAAGAAAGACTTTCACTTCATCCCTCTGTGCTTACCTGGCTCAATGCTGCCCATCCTTCTGCACAAAAATGTCATGCCACCACCTCCGGGAGACTTTCTCAGCAGAATTTTTACCTCCTCTGAACTCCTCTAACCCATGGCGCTTGTGTCTTTCCACACTTGGCCATATTTTACATGTCTTATCTCCCTTCACAAGTTCCTTTATATTAAGGACAAGTCCTTAGACATTTGTCTAGGCATGATTTCTGCACATAGTAGGTGCTCAGTAAATGTTTGGCTAAGTCAAATCTGTGGCATCCCGGGACCTATTTAGGCTGACTGTGTAGGCATTAGTATAGTAGTATTGTTTCCTTAAAGCACTGGGAAAACTAAACTGTGTAGAGAAAGCACAGGTAGTGAGGTCTCAACCCTGAGGTCTCTGTGTAGTTATAACAAAGTGACATTTTGTTCCTTTCCCCCCAGAGGGAATTTGTGGGGATGTTAGCAGGCCAGGTTACAGAGTTGCAAAGAGTTTCTTTCCTCTAGCCATGAAGTGCCCTCTGTGAGCTTTGGGAGGGTGGGAGCTGCCCTCACTTTTTTTTTTTTTTTTTTTTTACATCTCTCACTAGTGCCTCCCAGGAACAGGAGACATGGCTGGTGTGTTCAACAGGTTCTTGTAGGGTGGGTGCATCACAGACAGACGGTTGGATGGATGGACAGATCATGTTGGATTTGATTTGAACTGATTTCAGGAGCTGTAGACATCACACATGTTGGATTTAGTTTCCTGGATACCCTTCCTTCTAGTCTCTACAAAAGAACACTGAAAAGAGACAGCAGCAACCCATTAAACTTAGGATAATTGGTAGAAAAACCACTCCTTAAGTACATAAGTGATCTTGGTGAGCCTTTCCTTGGAAACAGCTACCCACATAAGTTAGTAGCAAGGGGCATGGAGAGGGACAGAAGGAATTGGAAAATGAATGCTTCTCTCTCCGCCTGTAGCAGCTACGTTGTGACAGGAATGCTTTCTCTGTATGTGTCTTTCTGATGGCCCTCTGCTTATACCCCTAGGCCCGAGTAATGGCAACAATTGGAGTGACCAGGGGACTTGGGGACCATGACCTGAAGGTGCATGACTCCAACATCTACATAAAACCATTCCTGTCTTCAGCTCCAGAGGTACCACATGAGGTTTTTGTTTCTGTTTTGTGCAATAAAATACTGTCTACATGATTCCTCCCGGGACTCGCACCCCATGATGCAGACAGTAGCCAGCTTGTGTCACGGGTACTTGTGCGGTGGTCCTTTTTCCCACTCCATTCTCCCTTTGAATGTCCTGGTTCCTACACTCCCCACTTCCTGCCTGACTAGCTGCACAGCCCCCTAGTGGCATTCCTGCCTCCTCAGTCCATCCCACATTTTGTCATCGGACAAATGTTCCCAAACAGGTACTCTGACTCCTGTTAGCTCCGAAACCTTCGACCATACCCCGTGCCTATGAGAATAAAGCCCAGACTCCTTTGGTTGGCATTTGAGGCATGTTATAATTTTGTCTGTCTTTCTAGACCAAAAATTTGATCTCTGTTCCCCTGAACTAGCCAGAAAGAACTTGCTGTGTCCTTCCTGTGCATGACCTTCAGTTTCCCAGAGTTGCTTAGACTCTTCCTTCTGACTGGAATGCCTTTCCTCCCTATCTCCAAACGTCCCGAGTCTGCTGTGGAGACTTCCCTGATTTCTCCCTTCCCCGACCAGAAGTAAGGTCTCCCTACAGATCCGTGTAAAGCAGCTGCCTTTTACTGCCTTCCACTTTCTGCCTTATCGCAGAGTTGTTCGTGTATATACCTTATCCCCTCTTCGATTTTAATCGTCTGTACAACTTATATCATTCAGCTGATGTTTAGAGAAGTTAATTGGAAAACAAGTTGTCATCTTTTTGGTTAAAAAATTTTTTTCTCACTTAAAACTAACGTTAAAAAAAGCCAACAACAGATGTTTCTTATGATATGGGAAACTATCTAGTTCTGTTTCAGGGTGTATCTTTAGAAAACGTTTTGCTTCTATGTTGTAGAGAAATCTAAGTCATAGTAGGTTAAGGGTCTTTTTTTTTTTTTTCCCACCTGTTGAGGAGGCTGGAACTTGGTGGTAGCTGGTGTTGGTGCAACCCGTCCAGTGTGCCAGGACTGGCATCTCAGCTTCGCTGCCTTTCCCTTCGTGGTTGCAAGATGGTGGCATAGCATCTTCACGCGGGGCGGGAAGGAGGAAGCAGGCAGCCCCTCTGTCCCCAACAGTTCCTCACTTGCGTCTCATTGGCCAGGGCCGTGTCACATGACCTCCCCTGGCTGCAAGGACGGTTGAGGGAGGGAGCTTTAACTTTTCCAGTTCTTACAATAGAAGGGAGAGGTGCGTCAGGAACCAATGGTGTTCGCGTTCTGTGTAATTACCTGTTAGAGCAATGCCTTGCACCGGAAATGCCCAGGATGTTTAAATATAGCTCCATCTGCATGTTCTTCCCAAGGGTAGATGCTGTTTTATTGAAGGCTCTTTTTGTTGGAGGAAACCAAAACCCACTCAAGCTAACTCAAAAGAGGAGGTGCTTGTTATAATAATATTAGAAGAGATGTTTATGGTGTACACAAGGAGAACCCTTAACAGCCAGTCTTTATGGGAGGGTGCTTCTGGAATCAAGACCACCTCCAGAGAGCCCCAGCAGTGGGAGTCTGTCACCCTCATGAGGGTGTTCTGCCCTTATGTGGCCAGTCATGTTCCATATGTATCTGCTACCAGTCAACCCAGTTTCTCACTCTCCCGATTCCTGATGACCAGAGAGCAATCTCATTGGTCCAACTCCCTTTTTATACCAGGCCACAAGTGACTTCCCAGCCCATAAATTGCCCCTTTGGCTTGTCTACTCCAGAGCCCTCGGTGGGCACAAACAACCACCTAGGCCCACCCATTTGGCAGGGCTGTGAGCAGGGGGTTGGTTCTTCTAGAGTTTGTATTGCTGAGGCTGGCATTCAAATTACAAGTAGCCACAAGAGGTTGGGAAGTCACAGAGGGGGAATCTCTAGTATATAGAAGGCATGGAAGGCACACACCTTTCCTGATATCACCCAGCATTTCAAATGAGATCAGCCTGGTGGAAATAAATATTGCCATTCATCAGAGCCTGTAGATGTCTCTCTTTTAGCCCTCACAGCAGTTCTGCATGACAAGGACCAGTACTACATGAAGTGTCCAAGGTGCCCCAGAAGCTTGTGGATCCCTGATCCCTCTATTCTGGCCAACCTCAGGATCCATGAATTACTGCTGAAACTACTTTTGGCCAGAGGAAAGCAATAAATACTAGGCTCATGGACTCTATATTTTCCCCCCTTGAGAGAGAGGCATTTATTAGACATATTAAATGGTGCCATCATCTTTCTACTTTGCAAAAGGGACAGATGAAGTGTGACTCATGTTCTTGGAGAGGGGGTGGTCCTCGGAAAGCACTAATTAACCATTTTGCTTCTTAAAGCAGAGTGAAAACCTTCTCATCTCCTTCCACACACACCTATGCTTTCTATATAAAGTGAAAAGAGGTGTGGTTTGGTTTGAAGGAGAATGATTTCTGCACAGTTAGATTTTAGATCTTCTAATTGCTCAATTGCCATGGCTCCAAAGAAGAGACTGTAGGTTTAAAACTTGGGCATGCATGGGAGACTCCCTGGGGACTGATGAGAAAGCCCAGTTGGTTGATCAGAAACCTTACGTCATCTGTGTAGAGTGATGCTGGTTCGCAGGGAATTGGGTTGGTTGGTTCAGTTTTGGTGAGGGACTGGACAGGTGGGCAGCGTGTTTAAAAGGAAACGGGCCACCTGTGGAAAAATGTAAGTGCTCTTAGAGAAGGTGTAGAGTTCAATAAGGTGTAGTTTTTATAGTAACAAGTAATGTTTATTAACTGCTTAGTCTGGGCCAGACAACTTACAGTTTATTATACATAGTATAATACATGTGTTTATTATACATAGTATCTCATCTGATCCTCACAACAACCTTAGGAGGTCCATATGCCTATTTTTTTTTTTTTAGGTCCATATGCCTATTATACCCATTTTGCAAATTGGGAAACTGAGACTCAAGTGAAATAATTCCCCCAAGGTTGAACAGTTATGAAATAACAAGATGGTACTTGTACCCAGGTCTGATTTTTTTTTTTTAAGATTTTATTTATTTATTTGACAGCGAGAGACACAGTGTGAGAGGGAACACAAGCAGGGGGAGTGGAGAGGGAGAAGCAGGCCTCCCGTGGAGCAGGGAGCCCGACACGGGGCTCGATCCCAGGACCCCGGCACCATGACCTGAGCTGAAGGCAGACGCTCAATGACTGAGCCACCCAGGCGCCCCTAGGTCTATCTAATTTGATCAGGGTCTGTAGGAGAGAGTAGCTGAGTTCAAAGAAATGTCTTTGGACAGTGTCTAAGGGACCCTTTGAGTATAGGTTCGAGGGGTTCTGAAGAGGATCTTTGTCTTGGGACCTCAGTGGCTCGAGTTTCTCAGAGAAATACTGCTGGCCTCGGACTAAAGTCATAGAAAATGATGGCGTGGTAGAAAAAGTAATTGGGAAAGACAGTAATAGCCTTTGGTGTGTGCCAACCTAGGCCAGACAGAATTGTGCAAAATAAGATTGTGCACGTATAATTTAGCTTAATGGGTATGTAGGGTAGACCCGGAGATTCCTTTGCACGAGATTAAAATTGTTGTACATTTTAAATGCTTCCAGATGGAGCGGGCTTAGCCAGAAGCGGTGGGGGGGGGCGGGGAGCAGTTAGAGAGAAGAGGAGGGGCAGTTGGAATTGGCTACTGTGGAGGGGTACAGGAGACCCCCCTCATCCCCAATCTTAGGGTAGAAACTCCTCTTCCTTGGGTGCTGGTGATAAAGTCCGACACCAGAGACGTGGCGAGCAGGTCTTTCTGGGGGAACTCGGAAAGCCAGGTAAATTTCTCCAAACCATCTAATGAAGAATAACTACCCCCTTTCCTGCCTGCATCCCCTCACCCCCAACCCCATGCCTGCCCTGCCTTTCTAACTGTGACTTCCTAAGAACATTCCCCTGCTATGCCTCCTCTTTGCCAAGCATGGATCTTTATTTCACATTTGGGTTCTAAATTTCAAATCCAGCTCAGTCTGGTAATTTTAACAGTTGGGAAGAAAAATGCGATTTAGTTCTAAGAAAAAAAAGGCTCCAGAATCTTCTTGGAAATCAGCATTGTTCCCTTCATCATTGTAGCTCCTAATTCGATTTGATGAGCTAAATAAAAATAAGACAAAAACATGTGTATCAAATTTACGTAAAAAATGCTCAGGGGTTTAAAAATTAGAGAAGGGTTTCTAGCCAAACACATTTTCGGTTTCGCTGAACACAAGGCACTGGAAAAATCTCGAGTTTGCCAAACCCAAAGAGCAGCCGCCAGGTTTGCTGAGCCTCCCTCCTATCTTCCAAGGTCTAAGGCAGGGGTTTCTGGCCAAGAACTGAATTCCACAAGGGGCCCCCCGCCAGCCAAGCGGTTGGCCTGACCATCGAATGTGGAGCCGTTCTGACTCTCGTCAGGTCCACAGCACCGTGTTTTCCCCGGGTCACAGTGTGAGACGCAGCTTCTCCCCACATAAGAGAAATAGCCTCAGCCCAGTCTCCCATCTCCTTGCTCAGTGAAGCGCATCAACAGTCACCTTTCTTATACTCTCCCGAAAGAGTTCAAGCGGAGAAGGAAAGGATCAGGGAAGTCAGGCACTGAGCCCAGACTCTCCTTCTTTTCCAGCATTTCTTCTCCCCGCCGCAATCTAGCACACTTCCTGCTGTGTTACTCAGACACCTTGGCACAGGCCTGCAGCCTACACCTCCAGATGTTCTCTGCTCCTTGCCCCTTTCTGACCTGTAACAGGCCCTCCCTAGAGCTAGGATTCCTCTTCGTGGTAGTTGCTTTCCGGCCTGCACTCCAAGACTGCCGTTAGCCCCCTTTCGGGCTCTTGGAAGAACGAGGTCTCTTTCTTTGTGGGAACTACTTTGCAAAGCCAAGCCCTTCCTCAACTCCGCATCCCCTCCTCTCGGCCCTGCCAGACTGAACCACAAGGAGCCCCGTTTTCTCTCGGCTTCATTGTTCCTTTCCTTGGTGTTGAAGATTCCTATCAGCTGTTTTTTTTGTTTTTTTGGTTTTTTTGTAATTTCAGCCTGACTCATTCAGCTCATTTTTGCTTT